CATGGGCCACATCTGCCCTCTGCAAGGTGTCAAATAAGACTCCTAATATGAGGCTGATGGAGAGTTTCATGTCCCCCTGCTTGAACGAGCTCTGACTCTGCAGGTTCTATCTGTGTCAATGAGGTGACAGATCAGCCCGGGGGGAAGGGGAAAGGACCTTTTGGCAACTGATTTACAAATGAATTTTCCTGTAGATTTGGTCAGCAGCTGCACACAAAGGTAGCCTGTAATACATGACAATTCCAGCCTTCGTTCTATCCCATTTGCAAAGTCAGCCCCACAGATTCCCTGACACTACATGTCGTTGACACTGTAACTACACAACTCCAAGCTGATTAGATTAGTTTTTGGGGTAAGTTGATCCTTTAAAATGCTCTAAATCTGAATGGTTCATAGATATGCTAATGCAAGCGAACTTCGTGATTCTAATTAGCATCATGAATCCAATTTTACTGATAATGATTCGTTTACTTCATTACTGTTTGTTATTTGTATTACAGTTGTGCCAAGGTCAGGGGGCTGGTGGCCCATTGTGCCAGGGTTTGTACAAACGTCCTTTAAAAATAAAAAAGTCATTTTCAGTTATTTATTGAATATATTTCGTTAAATGGGAATATCAAGTTCCTGCGGGGAGGGGAGGACAGGGACATCTACATATATTTAATTAACTAGGGACATTTGCTGTTGCTCTGCAGTTGGCTCTGAGAAGGAAAAGGTATTGAAGTGACACAGGTAGCTGGATCAGACTGTTCAAACACTGGGTTAGCAATTTTACCCACAGCGCAAATGGGCAGGCTGGCCTGACAGCTAGTGCACCGGGAGATACTATATCCAACATGCTGAGCATTCAGGAGAGTAGAACATGGAGCGTCAAAAAACTGACGCTCTCTCTCTGCAGCAGGAGCACCCTTTTCCAGCCCAGGTTGTGCGTGCAAGGAAAGTGAGAGCAACTCTGATAAACACAGGACAGTTGCGGAGATGGGATCCTACTGCAAACCATGCTAATAGCTCAAATCTCCATCTGCCGGAAAGGGCGGCCCCCCTCCTGTTATGTGTTCTTTGTCTGCAAGGGCGGGACAGAAAGGGCCTGAACTCCGGGTGCTTGGACCCACCTGCAGCAAGAGATGCATCTCTGAAAATGACCAGCCTCCAATATGACCAGCCTCTGTGTCGACAGGAACAGCAGCAATTGTTTCATCCATGTGCTCCCCCACCCCCAGTTTCTAAAGAACAATATGCCGGTCTCCACATACCAGTAGGGGGAGGGGGCAAAGAAGGGATGCAGGGAAGCAGAAATGTAAGCAGAGTCAGAATGAGCTCTACCCTGACATCTGGTGGTGAGCTGTGGAAAAGGACTTCAGGGGCTGATCTAGTTTCAGGGGCACACCCACCCTGCCTAGCATGATGGGACTGCTGGCCCAAATGGTCAATTTGGCTGCTGTGGGATCCCCAGACTCTTTGTTATTGGGGCAGGAGTATTAAAGTGTTGTTATCCTGGTTGTTTGAATCAAAGACAGTAGAACTGTACTTGGCATTTTATGACGGAGGGACTCGCCCTCAACTAAGTAGCACTCGCTAGACAAGGGACATGGGTTCCAAAGCCCAGTGAATTGAGAGAGAGAGGGGCTGGGACAGGTATGGGTAACTGAGGGCCCCAAACACCACTTTGACCTCTCTATGGTGTAATAATAGAGCTAAATTTGACTCAGTTAGGAGTCTTGTTACATACTGCAGAGCTGAAGACACGGATTCTGAGGTCTAAGCATTAGACCTACTTTGGACTAGCGGTTCTGAGTGCGCCAGCACTGAGGCCCCCTACTAACAGCTGACATCACCGAGAGCTGAAATCACTAAAGAGCTGAAGTTACTAAGAGCAGAAATCACTGAGAGCTGTGTTTAGGGAAGACAAGTTGGGTGCTAGCAGGATGGCTAGCAGAGAGGAGCGGCTAGCGGAGAGGAGTGGATAGCAGGGCGGCTGGCGGAGAGGTGCAGCTGGCGGTGAAGACTGCAGCAGAGCCCCGTGGAGAGGCGTGGCAATCGGCCATCAACCCGAGCAGCGGAGCATGTAAGATGCCCCCCGTATCTCCCCACTTCCACCCAGGCTGGGAGGTAAACTCTGCAGATAAGCTTCTGAACTCTGGGGGCTGCACTGACCAAGGACAGAAACTGTGGGTGGGGGTGACTGTTGGGTTGCTGGACTTAAGACCCTGAGGGGAAAAGGACACTGCCAAACTTACTTGAGGGTGGGTCTTTTGCTCATGGTTTGTGTTATGAATCCTGTTTGTGGTGTTTCCCCAGCATAATGCCACATTGTTTCCCTCCTTTATTAAAAGGCTTTTGCTACACTCAGTCTCTGTGCTTGCAAGAGGGGAAGTATTGCGTCTTAGAGGCGCCCAGGGGGGTGGTATGTAATTGTCCCAGGTCACTGGGTAGGGGCTCGAGCCGGTTTTGCATTGTGTTATTGAAACAGAACCCCTAGATACTGAACCCGGCCCTTGTTGCGGCCAACTCTGATGGGCAGAAGAGTTACAGAAGAGAAGAGCAGTTTCCTTTAAGGGAGATTTGAGAAGGATGTGTTGGAAAGGGGACACCTGTGGTTGACACAAGGTGAACCAGACCTCTATCTAGCTCCAGAAAGTGCATGGTCTCCTGCTGACTTCATAGGAACACAGAATCATAAAATATCAGGGTTGGAAGGGACCTCAGGAGGTCATCTAGCTCATGGCAGGACCAACACCAACTAAATCAACCAATCCCCAACTAAATCTGACTTAGGCTTCTCTATAATCAAGGGACCACAGATGTCCCAACACCACTTCAGCCCCACTGCACGTTGGGCCAAAGGCTATGCGTCCTCTGCCTAAAGAGATAGGTGAGGCGGGCACAAGAGGGAAAAGAGAAAGGAGCCAGAATGAGGCTGTAGAGAATAGGAAAGAAAGGAGGACAATGGGGGTACATAGGAAGGAAAAGGGGTAGGAAAGTCAGGACAGGGGAAAGAAACCCAACAGGAATAAAGGAGCTGTTCCCCCCTTCTACTCACATCCTACCCTACGTTTCCTTTGGAAGCATCCCAAAAATCCTCTCCCAGCCAGCGCAGCCCCATTCCCATGTTCCCAGCAAGCTCAGCCATCCTTCTCAGAGGCAGCATTTCCACTCAGTCACTAACGAAGTGCTGCCGCCTGCTAGCAGCATTGCCAACTCCTAAACAGCTGGAAGACGGTGCAATGCTGGAAAGGCGCTCACCTGCCAATCTGCATCCAGGCCTCTCCCTGGCGTGCAGTTCCAGCAGCCGAGTGGAGGGCAGCGAATTGGGATCGCACAGCTGTGAGAAAACCGCATCCAATTCCCTGCTCCACAAGTTGCACTTACATAATGGAAAGTGGCAAGCGGCTTGCACACAGCAGCCCCTGAGAACAGTATTTTATAATAGCCTTGCCAGTAAAATCTATTGCTACCAAGGCAAATTACAAAGAGCCCAGGGACTGAACCATGCAGCGAGACAGACTATTCTGAATCCTAGATTCCAGGATTTAGATGCAAGAAGAAGTGAAAACATTGGAATTTTCAGACAGGGTCTGACTTGATTGAATACATTCCCAAAAGCCTATGCAAGCTTTGTTCGTTCCATTTAGGACAGGTTCTGTAAACGATGCAATCCTATGTAAATCACACGTTGGCTCAATTTTATTTTTAAATATGGAAAAAAAATCCAGGAGGATCATACAGGGAAAAAGCATGGAGCTGCTCCTACAAACTCCAAAACCGGTCCTTTACCAAACGAAGACCTAACCCTGTTCTTTTGACTTCCCCGGTCAGTTCCAGTTGGAAGGCAAACATCCAAGCAGCCCTGATTAGCCCCTCTGAATGATTACAAGTGGAGCATTAATCTCTGATGTGAATATTGAGCCGAACTGGGGCGTTGCAGCTTCCCTCGTTGAAGCTGGCGCAGCTGACTACCAATGAGAAGGGGCCATTGGTATAGCTGGCTGCAGGACGACAATTCTGTTTGGCAGCAACTTCGGAAGTTTTGACATTTGTTTTCGTTCCACGCTGGAACAACCCCAAAACCTTTGGGAAGTTTCTGGGGACAGGGAGTCATGTCCTAGTGCCCACTTTTGGATCGGGGTGTGTGCTCCCATTCATCCTGCGGACTGGGGCCCCGCCTGGAATGTAGCCAAGCCAGGTTCAAATCCTGGCTCTGACTGATTCAGACCAGAGCTTTTCATCCCAGATCACTCTGAATCAGGTAGGGCGGGCATTTGAACTGGGTTTCTCACATGCCAGGCCAGTGCCCTACTCGCCTGGCTAGAGAGTGTGAGAAATCTCTCGCTAAAAAACAAACAAACAAACCACAAAGAACCCCTTCCCGATGAAACCGACACATCTTGGGGAAGGGGTTCCAACCAGCTATAGCCACCTGTGATTTGTACAAACCACGGATCTACAAGATGCAGAGGGCACATTGTCAGCCATGTCCTCAAGAGCGGAATTATATAATAATAATTATTAAAGGAGATATCCCATTTCCTAGAACTGGAAGGGACCCTGAAAGGTCATCAAGTCCAGCCCCCTGCCTTCACTAGCAGGACCAAGTACTGATTTTGCCCCAGATCCCCAAGTGGCCCCCCTCAAGGATTGAACTCACAACCCTGGGTTTAGCAGGCCAATGCTCAAACCACTGAGCTATCCCTGCCCCCCTAATTCAGCAGGTCCCCACCCTCTTCACAGAAATACGGCTCCACTATCGGGGGCAGGGGGGCGCTTCAGGATCATTCTCAATCAAGGACGTAAGGGGGCCCTGACAATAAAGATTTAAGGCTTTAGCAGTTCCAGACCAGGTCACTGCTTCAAAGCCTCACTGGCCCCCTGTCAATCTCAGTTCAAGAAATCACAACCCACCAGTCCAGACTGGCAGAACTATAGGTCCAGGAAATAAAGGTGTATAAGTAGCAAACCACACACAGTGAGAAAGCCACAGCTTAGCTTAGCTTCAGCCTTACCTCCTATTCTTGCATTATACGCGATGCCCACGATACAATTAGAGTTGTTTGCTTTAGCTGCAACTTGTCCAGCACAGCGGGTGCCGTGTCTGAAAAGAGAATTTACAGTCAGGCTACATTTCCATGTAAATAATTGACAGCACAGTCACACACACACGTGGACCAAGCGTGTGTATGTATTGTATGTGACACCCAGCACCATGACGCCATTGCTAACAGTCATGTTGCTGCTTAAGCTATTTGCAATGTTGTATCCCATCATGTCTCCCTCTCTCATTCTACAGTGATGTCATAATGCTCCATCTACGACATCTCCATCCCTCCTCGGGTGAGCTCATAAACCCAGGCTGAAGACTTCCGCAGCAGACGAAACTGACTCGAGAGTGCGGAAACTTTTTATTAAAAAACAAAACCACAATAATGGCCAGGGGAATAGAGGTAATTAGGGGCCAAGTAAATTGCTTTTTTGTATTAATGTTTCCTTTTCAAATGTGCCGCCATGTGGAAGTCCCACTTTAATTTAGGTTGAAAATGTGTGACAACGTTTTGACATCTTAATCCACTGAATTGAAAACGTGCTTAGAGGCTTGGCATCATTAAGGGAATTCACAGATGGTGATCCTTAAAAAGAGTTTTTGGTTAGTCCTTTTAGACTAGAGGACACATTTCCAGTCAGCTGTTCAAGGACTCCGCCACACGACTCCCGTTAGCAGCAGCAGAAGTCACATGAACATTAAACCCCTGAACATTCACCCCCTTTCTGTTCACAAATTGGCCTTTAGAAGATTCCCCCTGTATGTGGCCCATTGTGCACAGGGCGGAGAATAGACTCATTTGTCTTAAATGGTAGAGCTGTTCATTTTAGAAAGACATTTTGGGACACAGGGCATGAAAAGTCTATTGGCATTTGTTTGATAGAAAGTTACTTGGCAACTGGTGTTTACATGAAGAGAGCTATGCTGTATGGTTGCAGATGTGTATACGCCACATTAGGAGGACAGAATTACATTCAAATAAGGAGTGCGGGGCGGGGCGGAGAGTTGAGCTGACAGAGTACAGAGTATAAAAAAAGTGTGTGATTTTATATAATCAGTGCTGTGGCCTCACCAGGATACCTGACACCTTGTCTCAAAAAAGGATATTGCAGAGCTGGAAGGGATTTAGAAAGGGGACAAATAAGAGGGGACTTGATAAAAATATATAAAATAATGAATGGTCTAGGGATGGTAAGCTTCTGTTCTCCCAGTCTCAAAACGCAAGAACAAGGGGGCAATCAATAGAAAGGGGGCAAATTCAAAACCAATAAAAGGAAATACTTTTTCACAAAACTCATAATTAAACTGTGGAACTCACTGCCACAGGAAGTGGCTGAGGCCAAGAATCTGACAAGATTCCGAAAGGGGTTGGACATTTACATGGCTATCAAGAATTTCCAGACTCATCCTAATTAACAATAAGAATTTTGGAAGGGATATTAAATCTCAGGCTTCAGGGTTTAAGCAAATCTTTATTAGAGGTCAGTATGAGGGAGGCAGATGATCCATCATCTCCCTATTAGAGAGTTCTAACACCCTCTTCAGAAACAGGACTCTGGACTAGATGGCCCAGGGGCCTGATCCAGTCGGGCACATCCCATGTTCTTAAGAAGTGGGCAAGGAAGGACAGCGTGTTGTTATCTGAAGACGGTGGGCGACATTAAACTGATGTCTACATGTCACACGTCTTCCCCCTTGGAGAGGAAACTGCTCCAGCTCACCTGTGCCTCATTCACAGCCTTAGTGGGGCCTGATAGAGGACACATGTTACCTTATAAAGAGCCAGAGAGGAAGCTCAGGAAACTGCAGAGAGCAAGAAAGGCTCCTGCAGGGAAGTCCCTGACACCAGGGGAGTTTGGAAGCCAGAGCCAGAAGGCTGAGCTCCAGCCAGGTAATGCCTAGGGGTGATGGCTGAATCACAGGAGGGTCTGAGGCCCCTTGGGAAGGAGGAGATGGGTTGGGCCCAGTTTAAAACTGGGGTAAACTACCAGGGGAAAGACACCATTGAGTTCTGTTTGTGACAGACTTTGCTGCCAGCCAGAGCGGAACTGGTGAAGGGTGGATCGAAGGGACCAGGGAGAACAGCAGCACAAGCCCCAGAAGGAGGGCTGTGGGGTTCCCTTCATCAAGAAGGAAAGGTTTAGGCCTGGGGGGGCCACTGGAGATAGGGTGACCAGACAGCAAGTGTGAAAAATCGGGGCGGGGATGGGGGGTAATAGGCGCCTATAGCAGAAAAAGCCCCAAATATCGGGACTGTCCCTGTAAAATAGGGGCATCTGGTCACCCTAACTGGAGACCATGTGCAAGGTGAAATAAGCTAGACCCCAACTCAAGTAATTCTACTTTTAAATAGTCATAGCCTACTAAAATGATTTACAGAGTGTCACTGTTGTGTCACATTCATCATGTTGGACGGTAGTGCACATATTGGTTTAATGGATGACGCACAGGACTGGGAGCCAGGAACTCCTGAGTTCTAATCCTACCTCTGACCAGTACCTTTGCAGGAGTCACCCTCTCTTGTCTCACCTTCCCCATCTATGAAATCCCAATAATACTAATGCTTCCTGTACTATTAACCCGCCCTTCTGGGAGGAAGCAACTGTAAGAATTAGGCGTTTAAATATCGGTGAAGTGCTTGGAAAGTACCACACAATTTAAGAGCTAGGCGCATTATAAGGAATGCAACATACTTATTCTCGTTGCTGGCATCGTAGCGTGGACTTGGATCACAGTCATTGTCATTGACATCATAGCTTGCCTGAGGATCCTAAAAACATTTCACTTTGGTTAGAGAGCACAGACCGGACCTAAAGCCCACTTAGAGAAACAAGGAATTAACACAGCAAGTGTACCAGGAAGAGATCACCCAAGCAAGGCATGGCTCCCCTTGGAATTTGCATTTAATAAGCAACCATAACATTAACTTGGGAAGACGTTGCTGCTTTGGAGGGGAGAAGTAAGGTAAAGGGAGCTGCACTCGTTGCTGGGATCTGATAGACAGAGACATCTCATCGTTCAGCGGTAGTTCAGGCATAACTGGGATGCCAGGCTCATTCACTGCAGAATGCCCTTTCCCTCAGGTTATAAGCTTTGTCTCACCACTGACAAGAAAGTGGTTCAATATTTTCTGCTTTTCCAATTATGCCCTTCCGGGAGGCTATAAAGTGTTCACTCTACAAATAAAATGAAATGCTTAAATGAAAAGCCTGTGAGCCGGGTAAGATGCTACATTGGCACTAATCGAGCACTCCAGGGGCTGGGGCCGGGGAGATGACCTATGCAATAACCTGGCCCTTCTAATTTAATTCTCCAGTATTTGCTTAAGCCTAACAAAGGCTATTGGCATTCATTATTAAACCCAGCATACGCCTCATACTGGGAGCCGGAGTTTGCAAGCCCGGAGGAGAAACAGCTTAAAAGGACTCACTGAAATTTACAAGGAACTTCTTTTTCCTTAGTGTGCAATTGCGTGTGAGCCAATGGAACATGCCTGTGCGTTTGCTGGGTGTGGGCCCTTCTTTATATTATTTTCAAGTGTTTAGAAAGCACCTGCCCAGGCTCTTTTACAGCTCTTCAAAATAAATTAAAGGGAGAATTAATCCATTAAAAACGACGAGCTTTGCACTGTGAGCTGAATCGTGTGGTCCATCGTTTTTCACTCATGGGAGTTTGCCTGATAGGGAATGAGGGAAAATAGGTAAGGACCCGGGATCTGACACTTAACTCTTAGGGCACACCCATAACAAAGACATTTCCAAGCTATTAAAGCAGCGAAAAGAAAAGGATCCTGGGTACAGAAGACTCAGATTGTCAGACACGGTCCCTGTCAGCATCTTACAGGCCTGTAGGAATGTTACACCATGTGCTGTTTTATGTATTAGAACATCGTCAACTGTTGCAGGAGAAACATCAACCAATGACTCTTGGCTTAACAGGTTAAAAGTGTTTCGGTTCCTGATTATAACCGAGAGAGGCATTCCACTCACACACCTGTGTCATCCAAATACTGAGCTAGCAGTGAGTCAGCAGGGACTGGCACGTCAGGGTCTTCACCGTAAAATGGGGATCAGGTGAGAACCAGGAGAACTGTACTAAATGTATTGCCTCCATCCAGTATGTGTCATGATCAGGCTAGAGAGGAATGTGATACAGTCCATGTTGCCAAGATGGAATGCAATCCAAAGCCCATCAGGTTCCTAGTGAGGATTTGGGCGTCGGGTGTTTGGCAATCAGGATCTTTCAGTTAAAAAGTCAGCCTGACTCAGGTACTAGACTTCCCAGGGCCAGGAAAGAGATTAGCTATGGAAAGTCTTATGTTTTGCTTGATCTCTTTTCAAACTCGGCTAGGCAAAGCGATTTACATCATCTTTGTCTTTGGCCACAGGATGCCTGATTTTACTCTACAGGAGACTGACAAAGGTTTAAAAATATCCCACCACCATCTCCTAGTCAGCTGGCCAATGGGAATGGAGTATCCAAACGTGTTTCAAATCTGAAGTTTTGCTTTTTTTCCAATCTTTATGTGTATTCTGTTGATGACTGATCTTAAGTTCTTCAGAAACAAATTTACTGGGGGAAAAAAGTCTCTGCTCCCATTTTCCTTGAAAAACGATCATATTTTCCCATCATATTTTCCATTTGACATGCCAGTCTAAAAGGTTACAGAGAAGCGGCAAACAATTTTTTTTTTTTACTTACATAGTTTTGTACGAGATCGGGATGACTTGTCTCTATGCCATCATCAAGAATGGTCACCACCACATTTTTGCCAGTATATCCTCTCTGCCAGGCTGCGGGAATATTCATTTCTGACCTGCAGTGATTGTTTTTATCTCCACAGTGCTGAGGGCAGAAATAGCAACGGGCAAATTATAAAAGTGCAATGAGTTCAAAGCATCCCCAATTCAGCTGAAGAATGATACTGTGCAAACAAATCCAATAATCTGAAAATTCATTTACATTCCACAGTTTACCAAGCTATTTGTAAGGTTCTTTTAAATGTACAGACTAGATCAAGAAATCCCCAAACAAGTTAATGAGGGAAACTGAAATCTTAATATTCTTTGGTTCTTCCACTTTGGGGATCTTCAACTTTGTATGAATATAAAGTAGCATTTCTATCAAACTCCTTTATTTTAAATGACTTTCCCTACCAACCGCAAATCAATGAACCAAAATAAAATGATCTTACTGCATACAGGTAGTTTCAGCCCTTAGAATTTTGTACCTGTGATAAAATGATCACGACGAAAGACAACTAATTACAATAAACAATAATACTCAGCTCTTCTATAATGCTTTCCATCAGTAGATCTCAAAGCACTTTACAAAGGAGGTCAGTATCATCATCATCATCCCCATGTTACAGATGGGGAAACTGAGGCACGGGATATAACTAACTTGCCAGCTGTCACCCAGCAGGTCAGTGGCAGAGCCAGGAAGAGAACCCAGGTCACCTAAGTCCCAGTCCAATGCTCAATCACTAGACCACACTGCCTCTAAAGACGACATTCTTCTGCATCCTGGGATATATTAATAGAGCTACAAAGCACATTCACTGACACAAACACATAAGTCAATGGGCTACACTATCAAGAATAATGAAACTTTCAATTTTTTTAAAAAGTAACTTCGCTGTAAAATATCTCTACCATAGAAAAGCACCTGGCTAGCAATAAGAAGACTACTGAAGATACTCACCATATACCACATTTTAGACCACATTGGGTCATTGAAGTGAATCAAATGAGGGTCACCCCGGACATGTCTCTTAACTCGTCGTTTCACTTCCTGTTGCTGTAGCCACTTCACCTACAGAGATTTTAAATGACTGAATATGCAAATAAAGATATAACAAAAACACTGGCCACTCAAACATTGTCTATATAGTATAAATGAAAAATCCCAAGCAAACAAAACGACTTTTGAAACTGAAAGGCCTTGAACATTATATTCCTGACTCATTTCTAACCAGTCAATGGATGGTTTTCCTCACCATGGAAAAATCTAATGCAAAATCTAAATTTGCTCAGGGCTATGTTCTATTCATGAAAGAAAACGAACTAAATCTGAAATGGAAGAAGTCAAATCTACCTCTCATCTTCTTTGTAGGCTGCTTTATCACATTTGAAAGTTTTAAAGTACTATCGATGGAATATATAACGAGATAGACTAATTAGATGTTCTGGATACAAGCAGAGCCAGTTACTGCAAGCTACTACTGACGTGGATGAGAGTTTGCAGGACTGGACCCACAATGGACTAGTACTTGCATTTGACAACAGAATACATATACACAATGCCAAAGCACAGCTAACAACAACAACAGTGCAGACTCCCGCAAATACCATCAGAGCCAGGCACATCCTGGCTTTCCCCACTCCAAGTGCCTGGATTCGTTTGAAGGCAAAGCCTTATGAAGCCAAACGATTTGTCATTCATAAGCAGAACACTTTGCCCAGGCTCTCAGAAAATGGGTTTGTGGTTTCTTTTTTTAATTTGAAGGGGAAAATATTAGCAGCATGTCACAGGGTGAGCTTGTGACTTTGTGGGGTTCAGGTCCCTGCCTGGTTTGTTTTCCTCTCGAGAGCAGGTGATTGGGAACAGACCTGAACTCAGCAGAGGCAGGACTCTGTGCTGGAGACTCTGTTGTAACTAGGGAAGGACTGGTGCTGACAGTGGCTTTCTCAGGGCCGCCCGGGGGGGGGGAGGGGGGCAAGTGGGGCAATTTGCCCCAGGCCTCAGGCCCTGCAGGGGCCCCGCAAGCCCTGGCCCGGCGGCGGTCCAGGTCTTCGGCAGCATTTCGGTGGCGGGGGGCCCTTCAGTCACTCTGGGTCTTCGGCGGCATTTCGGTAGCAGGGGGCCCTTCAGTCACTCCGGGTCTTCGGTGGCATTTCGGTGGCGGGGGGCCCTTCAGTCACTCCAGGTCTTTGGCGGCATTTCGGCGGCGGGTCCTTCGGTGCCGCCGAAGACGTGGAGCAACTGAAGGGCCCCCCATCGCCGAAATGCCGCTGTAGACCCAGTCCGCCACCGGGTAAGTACAAGCACCGCAGCTCCCCCGCTGTGCCCCAGGTCCCCTGAATCCTCTGGGTGGCCCTGGGCTTTCTTCTGGGGAAAGCAGGGTCTGCCTCTGCCTGGGGGACCTAAGGGGAAGGGTTCAGCCTTTGGGAATGGAATGACTAGGGGAGAAGGGGCCCAGAAGGAAGTCCTGCCCACAGTGGAAGCCTGAGAATTTCCCATACAAGGGCTGAACCATCATTTCAATATTAAAAAGTGAGAGCCCAGGACAGATGGGTTTGTGTTGATTGTTATTGGGATGCATGTGAGACATTATCCAGCAAGGGGAAGGGCAGTGTGAAGGATAAGATATCCTCAGAGATAAGCTGCACCAGCACACAGGCATGTGCCCCTGAGAGAATGGTAGGGCAGCACGCCGCTCGATGGGTCATACATAAAGGTTTGGTCCCTAAAAACATTATTATCTATGGGCTGAGTCAGCAAAGAATTTAAGAATGTGCTTAAGCCCTATTGTAGGCAAAACACTTGGTTATGTGCTTAGTTGAAGGAGGACTAGTAAATTCTTCATTGGGGAAGTACTTAGATGATTTGCTGAACAGGCGCTTATTTTTCTTTCTTGCTGGTGATATTTCATCTGTTCTGCAGAACTGGTTGTGACACTGGCAGACCAGGTGCCAGCTCATCTCAAAGCCCCAGGCCAATTCACTTGTGCACTAGTATAGATCAAGGTGATTGTATTTGGTGTTTAAACTTCACAAAAAACTAATGGGATGTTACTTGCATTGTTTTCATTTATCTGTATCCCATCATAATGTAGTAGCAAACATTTACATTGTGTATACCCCTGTAACCAACTAACCCATCAAAGGAGAAAGAAGCCTTGTAGAATGCAAATGAAGAACCCTAACAGAAAAGAGCTCATTTCAAAGCAAGTGGTCTTTGTGTTGATGATTGAAGGTCAAAGACTCAAACGGCATTTTTCACTCTCCGTCCTCAAAGGAAAAGCCCAATTGGGTAGTGACACTGTCGGCTTGTTTTCTGAAGTATGGAGTCAAGAAAAGATCCTTCATCTCTGGACTGTTTGGACTCTTACAGGGAAGTGCACCAGATGCACGGTGGAGATCCCCCCGAGACAATCATGATACCCTGAAACTGGCAGTTTAGTACATCACTGCCACCCTTTGGAATTACAAACTGTGACTCACCTGCGCATGTATTTTACTTGCTTTAACCTCTCCTTTCCTTTCCTTAGCTAATAAACCTTTAGTTAGTAGAATTGGCTACCAGTATTGTCTTTGGTGTAAGATCTAAGGTGCCAGTTGATCTGGGGTAAGTGACTGGTCTCTTGGGACTGGAAGCAACCTAAATATGATGCGAGTTTTGGTGTAAGTAAACATTTTATTGCAAGGTCCAGTTTGTCGGGGTGGCAAGATAGACTGGACAGTCTAAGAGGACTGTCTGACTCCATGGTAAGACTGGTATAGTGATCCAGGAGTCCATACTTCTTACTGGCTTGGTGAAATCTAATTATAGAACACACCAGCAGCTTGGGGTGTCTTCCCTGTTTTCAGACAGTCTGCCCTGAGGTAGGCACTCACAGTCCTGAGCACTCCAGACCCCATGCATCTGACGAAGTGGGTATTCACCCACAAAAGCTTATGCTCCAATACATCTGTTAGTCTAAAAGGTGCCACAGGACTCTTTGTTGCTTTTTACAGATCCAGACTAACACAGCTACCCCTCTGATTCCAGACAGCGTGACACTGGCAAAGGAATAAGTAAGTATTGTGACAAAGTTCCTCCTCTATCTTGGTGGGTCCTGCGCTTATTGGCGGATTTTCTTGCCTCAGAGATTCACCATGTGGGTTGGGGAACAGGCCAGAGACCTTCCCCTCTGGGAGAACCCACAATCTAGGTCAATTGGGAGGTTTGGGGGGAACCCGGGCCCGCCCTCTACTCCGGGTTCCAGCCCAGGGCCCTGTGGACTGCAACTGTCTATAGTGCCTCCTGTAACAGCTTCACGACAGCTACAACTCCCTGGGCTACTTCCCCATGGCCTCCTCCAAACACCTTCCTTGTTCTCACCACAGGACCTTCCTCCTGGTGTCTGATAACGCTTGTGCTCCTCAGTCCTCCAGCAGCACACACTCTCAACTCCTTGCACCGCTTGCTCCCAGCTCCTCACACACCCCCACCACACACTGGGATGAGCTCCTTTTTAAAACCCAGGTGCCCTGATTAGCCTGCCTTAATTGATTCTAGAAGCTTCTTCTTAATTGGCTCCAGGTGTCCTAATTAGCCTGCCTGCCTTAACTGGTTCTAGCAGGTTCCTGATTACTCCAGTGCAGCCCCTGCTCTGGTCACTCAGGGAACAGAAAACTACTCATCCAGTGAC